CTGATTGGCTGAAAGCCGTGGTATATCAGACCATATACCACGGGTATGACAAAACGTTTATTTTTACTCTTCTAATTACGTTGGTAACCAGTTTATAATATCAGTAAGGCACCTCTGGGGTTTGAGTTATATGGCCAATATACCACTGCTAAGGGCTGTATCCAGGCACTCCGTGCAGCTTAGAACAGCCCTTAGCCATGGTATATTGGTCATATACAGTGGGGGAAAAAAGTATTTAGTCAGCCACCAATTGTGCAAGTTCTCCCACTTAAAAATATGAGAGAGGCCTGTAATTTTCATCATAGGTACACGTCAACTATGACAGACAAAATGAGAATTTTTTTTCCAGAAAATCACATTGTAGGATTTTTTATGAATTTATTTGCAAATTATGGTGGAAAATAAGTATTTGGTCAATAACAAAAGTTTCTCAATACTTTGTTATATACCCTTTGTTGGCAATGACACAGGTCAAACGTTTTCTGTAAGTCTTCACAAGGTTTTCACACACTGCTGCTGGTATTTTGGCCCATTCCTCCATGCAGATCTCCTCTAGAGCAGTGATGTTTTGGGGCTGTCGCTGGGCAACACAGACTTTCAACTCCCTCCAAAGATTTTCTATGGGGTTGAGATCTGGAGACTGGCTAGGCCACTCCAGGACCTTGAAATGCTTCTTACGAAGCCACTCCTTCGTTGCCCAGGCGGTGTGTTTGGGATCATTGTCATGCTGAAAGACCCAGCCACATTTCATCTTCAATGCCCTTGCTGATGGAAGGAGGTTTTCACTAAAAATCTCACGATACATGGCCCCATTCATTCTTTCCTTTACACGGATCAGTCGTCCTGGTCCCTTTGCAGAAAAACAGCCCCAAAGCATGATGTTTCCACCCCCATGCTTCACAGTAGGTATGGTGTTCTTTGGATACAACTCAGCATTCTTTGTCCTCCAAACACGACGAGTTGAGTTTTTACCAAAAAGTTCTATTTTGGTTTCATCTGACCATATGACATTCTCCCAATCCTCTTCTGGATCATCCAAATGCACTCTAGCAAACTTCAGACAGGCCTGGACATGTACTGGCTTAAGCAGGGGGACACGTCTGGCACTGCAGGATTTGAGTCCCTGGCGGCGTAGTGTGTTACTGATGGTAGGCTTTGTTACTTTGGTCCCAGCTCTCTGCAGGTCATTCACTAGGTCCCCCCGTGTGGTTCTGGGATTTTTGCTCACCGTTCTTGTGATCATTTTGACCCCACAGGGTGAGATCTTGCGTGGAGCCCCAGATCGAGGGAGATTATCAGTGGTCTTGTATGTCTTCCATTTCCTAATAATTGCTCCCACAGTTGATTTCTTCAAACCAAGCTGCTTACCTATTGCAGATTCAGTCTTCCCAGCCTGGTGCAGGTCTACAATTTTGTTTCTGGTGTCCTTTGACAGCTCTTTGGTCTTGGCCATAGTGGAGTGTGACTGTTTGAGGTTGTGGACAGGTGTCTTTTATACTGATAACAAGTTCAAACAGGTGCCATTAATACAGGTAACGAGTGGAGGACAGAGGAGCCTCTTAAAGAAGAAGTTACAGGTCTGTGAGAGCCAGAAATCTTGCTTGTTTGTAGGTGACCAAATACTTATTTTTCACCATAATTTGCAAATAAATTCATAAAAAATCCTACAATGTGATTTTCTGGACTAAAATTTTTCTCAATTTGCCTGTCATAGTTGACGTGTCCCTATGATGAAAATTACAGGCCTCTCTCATCTTTTTAAGTGGGAGAACTTGCACAATTGGTGGCTGACTAAATACTTTTTTTCCCCCACTGTACCACACCCCCTCTGGCCTTATTGCTTAATTATACCACAGCATTGTTGAATACTCGTTTCTCATTGGTTAGAAGGGCATTCTAGAATGGACATTAAAACCAGATAATCCGTTACATAGTGTGAGATTATATACACCGAACAAAAATATAAAACGCTACATGCAACAATTTCAAAGATTTTACTGAGATACAGTTCATAGAAGGAGATCAGTCAATTGAAATTAATTCATTTGGCCCTGATCTATGGATTTCAATGACTGGACAGCCATGGGCGGCATAGGCCCACCCTCTCCTCAGCACCGTCCTCAGACGATCCCGCAGGTGAAGAAGTCGGATGTGGAGGTCCTGGGCTGGCGTGGTTACACGGTTGTGAGACCGGTTGGACGTACTGCCACAAATTCTCTAAAAAGGCATTGGAGGCGGCTTATGGTCAAGAAATGAACATTCCATTCTCTGGCAACAGCTCTGTTGGACATTCCAATTGCACGCTCTCTCAAAACTTGAGACATCTGTGACATTGTGTGACAAAACTCCACATTTTAGAGTGGCCTTTTATTGTGCGCATGTGTAATGATCATGCAGTTTAAAACAGATCCTTGATATGCCACACCTACCAGGTGGATGGATTATCTTGGCAAAGGAGAAATGCTCACTAACAGGGATGTAAACAAATTTGAGCACAAAATGAGAGAAAGCTTTTTGTGCATATGGAAAAAATGTATGGGATCTTTTAATTCAGCTCATGGAAAAATGGGACCAACGCTTTACACGTTGCATTTATATTTTTGTTCAGTACAGAAGTATTCTCATAACTCGAGACCCACCTCTCACATCCCCAGGGCCCACTTTGATAGCTTAAGAAACCCCGTATTAGTGGGTTATTACGGCGTGTACCTAAACTTGATTCACTGCTTCTCTCCACCCCCCTCACACTGTTAAGTGTCTAAAGTATTTATTTCCCAACCCAGCCTGCGTGCCCTGGGGCATTCCACACAGCCTCATCTCAAGCATCCACAGGGGGGGGGGGGGTCATCTTTGGCAATCTTTCCTCAAAAGCATTGACCCACTTTAGTTTTATAAATGGACATTTAACTGCTTGATCATTGTGTTGTTTTAGTCGTACGTTTTAGTCATTTAGCAGACGCTCTTATCCAGAGCTACTAACAGGAGCAATTAGGTTAAAAGTGCCTTGCTCAAGGGTAGCGACAGTTTTTGTCACCTAGACGGCTCGGGGATTCGAACCAGAGACCTTTCAGTTACTGGCCCAACGCTCTTAACCGCTAGGATACCTGCCGTCCACACCGTCTTAAAATCGACATTTATCTATTGCTTGGCTGGTAGATCATTGTAAAAATCTACCAAACAATCCCTTTTGTTAAAAGATCAAATGCAATGCATTTCTCCTGGATATGTTGAAAACGACCTACACTGTCACAATGAGGTTGCTATGCCCCTCAAATGTCTAAAATTGTATTTCCAGGAATAGACAGGAATTAGTCAGTATTCATCAAATATCAGTTTTAATATGAAAACTTGAACCTGAGCAGTTATTTCCCAGTCTGGGACTAATAGTACAATTTGTAATACAATTTATAGAAATATCTCTTTATTTTTAACAAATATTACAATTTCAATTATGTTTTAAAAAATGCACATATTATAAGCATATGTAAAATGACCAGCCAAATGGATGCAGATCGATACCCACCCCATAGTTAGTAGCAAGGGCTGACTGCAGAGAGATACCAAGGCTGACTGCAGATAGATACCCACCCCATAGTTAGGAGCAAGGGCTGACTGCAGAGAGATACCCACCCCCTAGTTAGTACCAAGGGCTGACTGCAGACAGATACCCACCCCATAGTTAGTACCAAGGGCTGACTGCAGACAGATACCCACCCCATAGTTAGGAGCAAGGGCTGACTGCAGAGAGATACCCACCCCCTAGTTAGTACCAAGGGCTGACTGCAGACAGATACCCACCCCATAGTTAGTACCAAGGGCTGACTGCAGAGAGATACCCACCCCATAGTTAGTACCAAGGGCTGACTGCAGATAGATACCCACCCCATAGTTAGTACCAAGGGCTGACTGCAGAGAAATACCCACCCCATAGTTAGGAGCAAGGGCTGACTGCAGAGAGATACCCACCCCCTAGTTAGTACCAAGGGCTGACTGCAGACAGATACCCACCCCATAGTTAGTACCAAGGGCTGACTGCAGATAGATACCCACCCCATAGTTAGTACCAAGGGCTGACTGCAGAGAAATACCCACCCCATAGTTAGTAGCAAGGGCTGACTGCAGACAGATACCCACCCCATAGTTAGTAGCAAGGGCTGACTGCAGACAGATACCCACCCCATAGTTAGTAGCAAGAATGAACTGTAAACACATCTAGGGGTGGAATCTGATTGGACGTGTTACTACGCAGACATGGTTCCAAGTGGGTGGGGGCAGCTTGCACTTTCCCCTCAGCCAATTGGCCAAAGTTGCTGTCTGTCCACCCGGTCCAGAGAGAAGCCCCTTCCTCCCCTATCCAGCTCCATCACTCCACAATATGGAAACGCCATCAGAAAACTCCGTGATCTAAACAGTCATCAATTTGGCCAGTACATCACATCAGATACACCTGTTAGTGTTCCCCCCTCTCCACCTGTTAGTTCCCCCCTCTCCACCTGTTAGTTCCCCCCTCTCCACCTGTTAGTTCCCCCCTCTCCACCTGTTAGTGTTCCCCCCTCTCCACCTGTTAGTGTTCCCCCCTCTCCACCTGTTAGTTCCCCCCTTCCCCCCTCTCCACCTGTTAGTTCCCCCCTCTCCACCTGTTTGTTCCCCCCTCTCCACCTGTTAGTGTTCCCCCCTCTCCACCTGTTAGTGTTCCCCCCTCTCCACCTGTTAGTGTTCCCCCCTCTCCACCTGTTAGTGTTCCCCCCTCTCCACCTGTTAGTTCCCCCCTCTCCACCTGTTAGTTCCCCCCTCTCCACCTGTTAGTTCCCCCCTCTCCACCTGTTAGTTCCCCCCTCTCCACCTGTTAGTTCCCCCCTCTCCACCTGTTAGTTCCCCCCTCTCCACCTGTTAGTTCCCCCCTCTCCACTTCTCCAGCTGTTAGTGTTCTCCATCTCTCCCCAACTCCAGTTAAGACTATAGAGTGAAAAGTGGAATATACCTCCGCACCAAGAGAAGGGTTAGGGGAGAGCCTTGAGCACCCAGCAATGGTTGATAAACCCACACACACACACACACACACACACACACACACTATACACATCTCCTTCCCAAACTGTGAATGTGTGTGATGTTTGTGTGGTTCTTTTGGAAGCCCAAGGTGTCTAATCAACAGTGTTACGGTATCCTAGCTCCAGTGAGACAGGCTAACCCCCTAACCCCTAAGGGAGGGAGAGGGGCTGGGGGAGCCCAGGACGCCGATGTCTGGGAGGGAGGTGGTGACATTCTGCACCTCCCCGTTGAAACAGTACTCTTCCGGGTCTGGCTGGGACCTGGTTCTGTGGCCCACCACCACACTGGAACAGCGACTTATTTAGGAGAGAGAATGGAGAGAAATTCCTCGCGTCACTGTGTGTTAACAGAGTTAGTTCCTTTGAAAATATTGTGATCTGGTAAAAAAAGGCTGCCTAAAGAGGGTCTATGATGAACTCGACAAGGAGAGGGCGTGCGTCTCCACCTACCTCGATCTGATTGGCTCCTGCCTGGTGGGGTAATCAAACTTGGGAACGTAGGTCGACTTGGACCACTAGATTTAAAAAAAAAACAGAGAAAAACAACTTGTCAATAGTTTACAAACACAGCAGAGTACCTCCAGATATATATTAAAAACGAGCGTTTCTTTAAATGAACAGCAATTCACAGAGAGCCAATACTCACTATATGTGCAGGGTCCTCCGTACCCAGATGGACTCCTTTCTGACAGAAAGCCCTGAGCACACCGACTCCTAGGAACAAGACATAAGGAAACAACAGTAGCTGTTGGTGGACCTAGTGGTTACAGATGGAAGGGTAATGACTGAGCATTCAGCCACACAACCAACCGTACACACAGGGTGGATGTTCCAACTGGCACCCCCATTCCCTCTATAGTTCATTGCCCATTGGTCCTGGTCAAAAGAAGTGCACTATAAAAGTGAAAAGGGTGCCCAGTTGAGACGTATCCAGACAGACAGACCAACCTACCTTCACTCTTGTTCTGTCCATACTTGGTCTCCCACTGGTTGAGCAGGATGTTGAGGTAGCGCGGGTGTTCGAAGAAGCGTAGGTATCGTGAGGAGCAGTGGGAGGGGAACACCCGTTCAAACTCTCCCTTCCTGCTCAGCTCGTCCTCCGTCTCAGCCAGGACACGCACGTCCTCTGGAGTCATAACGTCCAGGATGGAGGAGGAGTCCTACAGAGAGAAAGGAACCAGAGGGTTCAGTGGGTCTTGAGGAACCAGGGGGTTCAGTGGGTCTTGAGGAACCAGGGGGTTCAGTGGGTCTTGAGGAACCAGGGGGTTCAGTGGGTCTTGAGGAACCAGGGGGTTCAGTGGGTCTTGAGGAACCAGGGGGTTCAGTGGGTCTTGAGGAACCAGGGGGTTCAGTGGGTCTTGAGGAACCAGGGGGTTCAGTGGGTCTTGAGGAACCAGGGGGTTCAGTGGGTCTTGAGGAACCAGGGGGTTCAGTGGGTCTTGAGGAACCAGGGGGTTCAGTGGGTCTTGAGGAACCAGGGGGTTCAGTGGGTCTTGAGGAACCAGAGGGTTCAGTGGGATTTTATACATAGCTGGATTTCAGTGTTTCCCCTATATTAATATAAGCTCAGACTGACAAGTTACAGCATCGATCGTCTGAGAAACCTCCAAGGTAACTAGCTAGCTAGCTAGCTAGCTTGGAGTTCTGGACGCTTAACCAACCCGATCGGTAGAAGACCACAGGAAGACCTGGACTTGAACACACGTCGGACTTTACGACTTGAAGTCTGGGAAAGTTCCCAGTAGTTGCGTGGAGCATCTGACAGGGCTGCATGAACGTACCTGGTCTGCGAAGCACTGGCTCAGGTAGAAGGCCCGTTTGACTTTTTCATCAGTAGAAATATCTGGTCTGGTTCTCTCCCAGGTTCCTCCACTGAAAAACACACAACAGAACACAAACTAAGTCATTACACCAATCCACAAAGCAAAAACAATAAGATATTGATGAACACCACTATTGTCTTATGGGCTGTTGAGTGAGTCCAGTAGAAATTCCTAATTACTCCCTACCCCCTTCCACTTCAATGTTTACAGATCGGAAGGATCTAGAAAGGTATAAGCAGTGTAGTGACGGAGCCATATTGATTCCACCTTACAGATCTGCAAAGATCGATGGGTTAGGGCCAAGGGAAAGGGAAAGGGATGGAATCGGGACCGGCAGTGATCAGTGGTGTAATGACAGTGACTGACCTGCTGGCGGAGCTGCGCACCTCTCTCCGAGGCAGAACGAAACCCGCCAGGTTCAACACATCTCTGATCATCTGACCCTTAATGGCGACGTCCAGAGCTGTGTTGGAGTGGAGGCTGATAGAGAGAGAGGGAATGAAGGAGTGACAGAAGGACAGAGTGCAAACTGCAGGAATACACAGAGGGTCAGTAAGCCACAATCAGCGAGACTGATACGAGGCAGAACACTGCTCACACAATGCACAGGGTAAGGTGTTGTAATAAAACTAAAGCTGAATAGAAAATCCATAGTCTGAGGGGCATTTTCCCCAAGTGTATTTTATCAGCTAGAATGATCCGTCTGTTACCTTGGAGATATATTGACCTCCAGCACCCAAGGCTTGAGGTTCTCATCCAGCATGACGTCAAAGCCAAACAGCTCATGACAGCTGTAGGGGGAGCGCAGGTGCATCTTGACACGCGTGTTCACATACGTGTCAGACCTGATATATATAGAGAGACAAAAACAGATTATAATACATTTTTAAAAAATGCTCATACATGCTTATAACAAGTTCTAAAGCATTATACCTGCAGACTGTGGTAACAAGACATAATTCATTACTCAAAATGGGATACACATAATGCCACAGCTTCATTAAAAGACTTACGCCATAGATACTATAATTAGTGTTGTATTTAACTCTGTGACCATAGATACTACACTGAACAAAAACATAAAAACGCAACAAGTGTTAGTCCCATGTTTTATTACCTGAAATAAAAAAGATCCCAGAACTTTCCCCATACACACAAAAAGCTTATTTCTCTCAAAATGTTGTGTACAAATTTGTTCACATCCCTGTCAGTGGGCATTTCTCCTTTGCCAATATAATCCATCCACCTGAAAGGTGTGGCATATCAAGAAGCTGATTAAACAGCATGATTATTACACAGGTGCACCTTGTGCTGGGGACAATAAAAGGCCACTCTAAAATGTGCAGTTGTGTCACACAACACAATGCCACAGGTGTCTCAAGTTGAGGGAGCGTGCAATTGGCATGCTGATTGCAGAAATGTCCAACAGAGCTGTTGCCAGAGAATTTAAAAAAAAATCATTTCTCGACCATAAGCTGCCTCCAACGTCATTTTAGAGAATTTGGCAGTACATCCAACCAGCCTCACAACCGCAGACCACGTGTATGGCGTTGTGTGGGCGAGAGGTTTGCTGATGTCAACGTTGTTGACGGAGTGCCCCATGGTGGCAGTGGGGTTATGGTACGGGCAGGCATAAGCTACGGACAACGAACACAATTGCATTTTAAATCGGTGGCAATTTGAATGCACAGAAATACTGTGACTAGATCCTGAGGCCCATTGTGACCAACAGATGCATATCTGTATTCCCAGTCATCTGAAATCCATAGATTAGGGGCCTATTGAATTTATTTCAATTGACTGATTTCCTCATATGAACTGTAACTCAGTAAAACCTTTGATATTGTTGCATGTTGTGTTAATATTTTTGTTCTGTATATAATAAGTGTTGTATTTAACTCGGACTTAGATACACTATAATACAGTGCTTTCAGAAAGTATTCATACCCCTTGACTTATTCCACATTTTGTTGTGTTACAGCCTGAATTAAAAATGGCTGAGAAAAACAACAATTTAGCAAATGTATTGAAAATGAAATACATAAATATTTAATTTAATCTACTGGTCAAAGGTTTTAGAACACCTACTCATTCAAGGTTTTTTTTCTTTATTTTGACTATTTTCTACATTGTAGAATAATAGTGAAGACATCAAAACTATGAAATAACACATATGGAATCATGTAGTAACCAAAAAAGTGTTAATCACATCAAAATATATTTTATATTTGAGATTCTTCAAATAGCCACACTTTGCCTTGACAGCTTTGCACAATCTTGGCATTCTCTCAACCAGCTTCATGAGGTAGTCACCTGGAATGCATTTCAATTAACAGGTGTGCCTTCTTAAAAAGGTAATTTGTGGAATTTATTTCCTTCTTAATGCGTTTGAGCCAATCAGTTGTGTTTTGACAAGGTAGGGGTGGTATACAGAAGATAGCCCTATTTGGTAAAAGACCAAGTCCATATTATGGCAACAACAGCTCAAATAAGCAAAGAGAAACGACAGTCCATCATTACTTTAAGACATGAAGGTCAGTCAATACGGAACATTTCAAGAACTTTGAAAGTTTCTTCAAGTGCAGTCGCAAAACCATCAAGCGCTATGATGAAACTGGCTCTCATGAGGACCGCCACAGGAATGGAAGACCCAGAGTTACCTCTGCTGCAGAGGATAAGTTCATTAGAGTTTCCAGCCTCAGAAATTGCAGCCCAAATAAATGCTTCAGAGTTCAAGTAACAGACACATGTCAACATCAACTGTTCAGAGGAGACTGCATGAAATCAGGCCTTCATGGTCGAATTGCTGCAAAGAAACCACTACTAAAAGGACACCAATAAGAAGAAGAGACTTGCTTGAGCCAAGAAACACAAGCAATGGACATTAGACTGGTGGAAATGTGTCCTTTGGTCTGGAGTCCAAATTTGAGATTTTTGGTTCCAACCGCCAAGTCTTTTTGAGACGCAGTGTGGGTGAACGGATGATCTCCGCATTGGTCTTTCCCACCGTAAAGCATGGAGGAGGAGGTGTTATGGTGCTTTGCTGGTGACACTGTCTGTGATTTATTTAGAATTCAAGGCACACTTAACCAGCATGGCTACCACAGCATTCTGCAGCGGGACTATCATTTGTTTTTCAACAGGCTGTGTAAGGGCTATTTTACCAAGAAGGAGAGTGATGGAGTGCTGCATCAGATGACCTGGCCTCCACAATCACCCGACCTCAACCAAATTGAGATGGTTTGGGATGAGTTGGACCGCAGAGTGAAGGAAAAGAAGCCAATAAGTGCTCAGCATATGTGGGAACTCCTTCAAGACTGTTGGAAAAGCATTCCAGGTGAAGCTGGTTGAGAGAATGCCAAGAGTGTGCAAAGCAGTCATCAAGGCAAAGGGTGGCTACTTTGAAGAATCTCAAATATATTTTTGATTTGTTTAACACTTTTTTGGTTAATACATGATTCCATGTGTGTTATTTCATAGTTGAGGTCTTCACTATTATTCTACAATGTAGACAATAGTCAAAATAAAGAAAACCCTTGAATGAGTAGGTGTTCTAAAACTTTTGACCGGAAGTGTAAGTATTCACACCGCTGAGTATGTACTTTGTAGAAGCGCTTTTGGCGCGGATTACAGCTTTGAGTCGTCTTGGGTAGGTCTGTATCAGCTTTGCACATCTGGATTTGGGGATTTTCTGCCATTCCTCCTTGAAGATTTTGTCAAGCTCTGTTAATTTAAATGGGGCCAAGCGGGGAACAGCAATCTTCAAGTCACACATTTTCAAATGGGATTCAAGTCTGGGCTTTGGCTGGGCCACTCAAGGACTTTCACATTCTAGTACTGAAGCCATTCCAGCATTGCTTTGGGTGTAGGCTTGGGGTCATTGTCCTGTTGGAATGTAAGTCTTTGGTTGTTTGCACTCTGAAGCAGGTTCTCATCAAGGATTTGCCTGTATTTGGCTCCATTCATTGTTCCCTCTATCCTGACCAGTCTACCAGTCCCTGCTGCTGAAAAGCATCCCCATAGCATGATGCTGCCACCACACTTCACGATGGTGTTAGACGGATGATGAGCGGTGCCTGCTTTACTCCAGGCCAAGAGTTACATTTTTGTCTCATCAGACCACAGAATCTTTTGCCTTATGCTCAAGTCTATCAGGTGCCTTTTTGCAAACTCCAGGCGTGCTGTCATGTGCCTTTTTCTCAGGAGTGGCTTCCGTCTGGCCTCTCTCCCATAAAGCCCAGATTGGTGAAGTGCTGTAGAGACTGCTGTCCTTCTGGCAGGTTCTCCCATCTCAGCCAAGGAACTCTGTAGTTCTGTCAGAGTGGTCATTGGGTTCTTTGGTCACCTCCCTGACCAAGGTCCTTCTTTCCCGGTTGATCAGTTTGGTCGGACGGCCAGCTCTAGGCAGAGTCTGGGTAGTTCATATCTTTTCCATTTCCCAATGATGGAAACCACTGTGTTCTTGGAAAGTTTTTCAATACACAAAAAAAATTGTTCCATACCCTTCCCCAGATATATGCCTCATCACGCGATCTACGGACAGTTCCTTGGTATAGTTTCTGCTCTGTCAACTGCGGGACCTTATACAGTACCTTAAGAAAGTATTCATACCCCTTTACTTTTTCCACATTTTGTTGTGTTACAGCTTGAATTTCAAATGGATTAAATTGAGATTTTGTGTCACTGGCCTACACACAATACCCCATAATGTCGAAGTGGAATTATGTTTTTAGACTTAAAAAATAAAAATAAAAAGCTGAAATGTCTTGAGTAAATAAGTATTGAACCCCGTTCAGGCAATCCTAAATAAGTTCAGGAGTAAAAATGTGCTTAACAAGTCACATAATAAGTTGCATGGACTCACTCTGTGTGCAATAATAGTGTTGAATATGATTTTTGAATGACTACCTCATCTCTGTACCCCACACATACAATTATCTGTAAGGTCCCTCAGTCGAGCAGTGAATTTCAAACACAGATTCAACCACAAAGACCAGGGAAGTTTTCAAATGCCTTGCAAAGAAGGGCACCTATTGGTAAAAAAAAAAAAGAAAACAGACATTGAATATCCCTTTGAGCATGGTATAATTACACTTTGGATGGTGTATCAATACACCCAGTCACTACAAAGACACAGGCGCCCTTCCTAACTCAGTTGCCGGAGAGGAAGGAAACCGCTCAGGGATATCACCATGAGGCCAATGGTGACTTTAAAACAGTTACAGAGTTTAATGGCTGTGATAGGAGAAAACTGAGGATGGATCAACAACATTGTAGTTACTCCACAATAATAACCTAAATGACAGAGTGAAAAGAAGGAAGCCTGTACAGAATAAAAATATTACAAAACATGCATCCTGTTTGCAATAAGGCACTAACGTAAAAACAGCAATAAATGTAGCAAATAAATGAACTTAATGTCCTGAATACAAAGCGTTATGTTTGGGGCAAATCCAACACAACACATCACTGAGTACCACTCTTTATATTTTCAAGCATGGTGGTGGCTGCATCATGTTATGGGGATGCTTATCCCCAAAAACTCCCTAGTCCTTGCCACTGACAAGAATAAATGGAATACAGCTAAGCACAGGCAAAATCCTAGAGGAAAACCTGGTTCAGTCTGCTTTCCACCAGACACGGAGACAAATTCACCTTTCAGCAGGACAATAAATTAAAACGCATGGACAAATCTACACTGGAGTTGCTTACCAAGAAGATATTAAATGTTGCCGAGTGGCCTAGTTACAGTTTTGACTTAAATTGGCTTGAAGATCTATGGCAAGACATGAAAATGGCTGTCTAGCAATGATCAACAACCAACTTGAGAGAGCTTGAAGAATTGTTTAAAGATGTTAAAATATTGTACAATCCAGGTGTGCAAAGCTCTTAGAAATTTACCCCGAAAGATACACCTGTAATCACTGCCAAAGGTGATTCTAACATGTATTGCCTTAGGGGTGTGAATACTTATTTAATGTAATATTTCTGTATTTAATTTTCAATAAATTAGCAAAAATGTCTAAAAACATGTTTTCACTGTCATTATGGGGCATTGTGTGTCGTCCGGGATTGGCCGGTGTAGGCCGTCATTGTAAATAAGTATGTTCTTAACTGACTTGCCTAGTTAAATAAAAGGTTAAATAAAAGGTTAAATAAAATAAAAGATGGGTGAGGAAATAAATATGTAATCCATTTTGAATTCAGGCTGTAACACTACAATGTGGAACAAGTCAAGGTGGATGAATACTTTCAGAAGGCGCTGGAAGTGTAGTATTTCATTCTGTGACCTACGCAATGATGGTCTTCATGACGATGTCCTTGATCTTCTCCCAGATCAGCGTAGTGTTGACCCCCCTGGAACCTAGGTACTGCCACAATGCCTTCAGAGCCCTGACACACACAGACACACACACACACACGGGGACACACACACACACACACACGGGGACACACACGGGGACACACACACACACACACACACAGGACAGATACACACACACACACACACACACACGGACACACACACACACACACACACACAGGGACACACACACACACGGGGACACACACACACACACACACGGGGACACACACACACACACACACACACACACGGGGACACACACACACACACACACACACACACACACACACACACACGCACACACACACACACACACACGGGGACACACACACAAACACGGGGTCCCACACACACAAACACGGGGACACACACACAAACACGGGGACACACACACAAACACGGGGACACACACACATTAGTCCATCTGTCCAATGAAAAAGCCTTGTTATCTGCTAACATAAGCCCATCCCGTCCTCGCTCACCACTTGTGCCCCTGGCAGGCCTTGTCACTGTCGTTGCTCTGATACTCGGAGTTCTTCTTGTTCACGCTGTAGTTTGTCAGGTGCATGAACTTGTTGCTAAGGCTTTTCATGGAAGAGGAATATCTACACAAAACAACCCAATCACTGTTATAAAGCATCATATCTTCTGGCTTCAACTAAAGTGTAACCAAACATTATCAAAAGATGGAGATGATGATGATGATGATCAGGTGACGTACCTGACGCTGGCGAAGCGGACAAGTCCATCTTGGAAGACGTAAACACGGAGCGGGTCGTAAGATGACACGTACACATAGATACGCAGGTCAAACTTATTCCCACTGATGAGGTAGGGCTTGTGAAGATACCTGAGAGATAACACAAAACAACGTTCAGAAAAGACCTTGAGACAATAGCATGTTGTTATCATAATCCAGTCCAGTTTACTGGTCAAATCACACTAGCCTGGTCCCAAATGGTCAGAAGCTGGCAAGACAGCACAAACCGATATGGGACCAGGCTACAATCCCATTCACACCACTAGGAGAAGGGTCTGTCATTCCAAGGCAGTTTACGTACTTCTGCACCAGCAGTGGTCTCTTGCGCGGCATCTGACTCCACTTGTGAATAACCTGGATCCCAATACCCCGAGCAGACGCAGGCTACAGGAGAGAGAGAGAGAGAGAGGAGGAAATATACCAAGAGGGAATTATATTACATTGATCAAGACTAGAGCTCGTCTCACTATACATACAGTACTAATACACATCCCAATACATCCACTTCAGAAGAAACACCAAGGCTATGTCCCAGATGGTAACCTATTCCCTATATATAGTGGACTTTTGGCCATTTCAGACGCAGTCTACTAACCACCTACCGGTTTGATGATCCATTTCTGCCTGCTACCACGGTCCTCCCAGGCCTTCCTCAGCAGCTTGATGTCCTGAGGGAGAACGAAGGAGCGGGGGAAGAAGCTGAACTCCCTCTTACCAAACTGAGCCTGCATCTTCGACAGGTTCCTCCACAGACGGTCCTTACGACCGATCTGAAACGAGCCGGGGAAGTGGTTCAACTGAAAAGAGACAGGAAAAAACAGAGAGAGAGAATTAACAGCACAAACTAGAATGCTATTTGGCCCTAAACAGAGTACACAGTGGCAGAATACCTGACCACTGTGACTGACCCAAACTTAAGGAAAGCTTTGACTATGTACAGACTCATTGAGCATAGCCTTGCTATTGAGAAAGGCCGCCGTAGGCAGACCTGGCTCTCAAGAGAAGACAGGCTATGTGCACACTGCCCACAAAATGAGGAGGAAACTGAGCTGCACTTCCCTAACCTCCTGCCAAATGTATGACCATATTAGAGACACATATTTCCCTCAGATTACAGCGATCCACAAAGAATTCGAAAACAAACCCAATTTTGATAAACTCCCTTATCTACTGGGTGAAAAACCACAGTGTGCCATCACAGCTGCAAGATTTGTGACCTGTTGCCACAAGAAAAGGGCAACCAGTGAAGAACAAACACCATTTAAATACAACTCATATTTATGTAGATTTTCCCTTATTTACTTTAACTATTTGCACATCGTTACAACACTGTATAGAGACATAATGACATTTAAAATGTCTATTCCTTCTGAACTTCTGAGTGTAATGTTTACTGTACATTTTTTGTTTATTTCACTTTTAATTTACTATCTACTTCACTTGCTTTGGCAATGTTAACACACGTTTCCCATGCCAATAAAGCCAATGTTAACACATGTTTCCCATGCCATTAAAGCCAATGTTAACACACGTTTCCCATGCCAATAAAGCCAATGTTAACACACGTTTCCAATGCCAATAAAGCCAATGTTAACACACGTTTCCCATGCCAATAAAGCCAATGTTAACACACGTTTCCAATGCCAATAAAGCCAATGTTAACACACGTTTCCCATGCCAATAAAGCCAATGTTAACACACGTTTCCCATGCCAATAAAGCCAATGTTAACACACGTTTCCCATGCCAATAAAGCCAATGTTAACATACGTTTCCCATGCCAATAAAGCCAATGTTAACACACGTTTCCCATGCCAATAAAACCCTTAAATTGAATTTGGAGAGAGAGCGAGAGCGCACAACAGTCAGGCAAATCACAGCTAAATTGAAACAAAAATATTAATAGATTGAATCAATAATAATAAAAATCAATAGCATTATTCTTGTTTGGCTGGTACAGGGCTCCAGACTAACGTTTCCCCCGGTGTCACTAACTTCTTCAGTTGGTGGCACCGAATTTTTTATTTTATTTTTAGCAGCGTCACACAATAGAATACATTTGAGTCGTCTAAAGTAATTCACACTGCTTTACCAAGAAGTGTAAGACTACCGAGATGGTATTCAATAAACAAGATGTTACATCTAACAGGTCCAAGCAGGAATGCAGAATACCAAGATATTTTGACATGCAAGCTAATCCAGTGATTGTCATGAATTCTTGACTGACAAATTAGGCTATTTCTTTTGTATTTTTTTGTACAATTGAGATTAATTCAATTATTTATATATACACTAGACTGATATAACCGGCTAACATAAACCCTGATTTAGACCTAATTCAAATTGGTGCTAATTCACTACCTGGGGAAGCTATACAATGCGCAATTTCGTGCGCGCCGTATTTTAAAGCCCCTATGAGATATCTTTATTTGTAAAACAGTGTGCTTTGAGTTCAATATTGATCGCTGAGACCTCTTTAATTGGATTTTTAAATGTTATACAATTGCGAGGGGCCCATGAGGGGGGGGGGAAGAGAGTGAGAGGCTCACTCATTACAGTGTTTGTGCTATCTTGCCAACTCCTATGGCATGACAATAACCATATTCGTTGTCAAGATGGCACAAACAGATCTGGGACCAGGCTTGCTTTTGTCCAGTCCTGTCTCCTCTCACCTTCTGGTATTCCCTGATGGCCTTGAACCCAGGGGACTTCATATGGTGACCCCAGCAGCCAAGCCAATCATGACTTTCTGCAACAACAATAACGTTTATTTTTATGATGTTTCATTTTTCACACAAATATCAACATACAGGATCTCTTTATATTTCAATAGGTACGAGCTAGAAACAGGGTTGAGGAGTAACTCACCCTTGGTGACTTTGAAGTGTGACCTGGCGATGGTGTGTTTGACTACGGCGGGAGTCACAGCGCTCATCTTCCATTTGAGCAGCTTCCTCTGCTCCGGTGGCAGGGGCTCCACTGAAACACAGCTACAACTTAGGGCTACGGGGCTACGGGACTACGGGACTACACAGTACCATACGGATAGAGGGCAGCAATCTCTCTACACATGGAGGATGGGGAGGTTGAGGGCAGTGTTAAGGCTTTTGATCTCAACAAGGACGTTAAAAAAATATGTATACCATTGGTCGACATAGTAAAGCCGTGTCTTACCTCTCTGGTTGGCAGTGCTGAAGTACAGCGTGGGTGGGAGAAGGGGGAACATGCTGGGGACCAGAGCTGGCTTCAGCTCCCCCTCGGAGTCAGGGCTCGTCGGCTCCTCATCCGCTATACTGGAGAAGTAACACACTGGCATTACAACACACTGGCATTACAACACACTGGCATTACAACACACTGTGGCATTACAACACACTGGCATTACAACACACTGTGGCATTACAACACACTGTGGCATTACAACACACTGGCGGCATTACAACACACTGGCGGCATTACAACACACTGGCGGCATTACAACACACTGGCGGCATTACAACACACTGGCGGCATTACAACACACTGGCATTACAACACACTGGCATTACAACACACTGGGCATTACAACACACTGGCGGCATTACAACACACTGGCATTACAACACACTGGCGGCATTACAATACACTGGCATTACAACACACTGGCGTCATTACAACACACTGGCGTCATTACAACACACTGGCATTACAACACACTGTGGCATTACAACACACTGTGGCATTACAACACACTGTGGCATTACAACACACTGGCATTACAACACACTGTGGCATTACAACACACTGGCATTACAACACACTGGCATTACAACACACTGGCATTACAACACACTGGCGGCATTACAACACACTGGCATTACAACACACAGTGGCATTACAACACACTGTGGCATTACAACACACACTGGCATTACAACACTGTGGCATTACAACACTGTGGCATTACAACACTGTGGCATTACAACACTGTGGCATTACAACACACACTGGCATTACCACACACTGGCATTACAACACACTGGCATTACAACACACTGGCATTACAACACACTGGCATTACAACACACTGGCATTACAACACACTGGCATTACAACACACTGGCATTACAACACACTGGCGGCATTACAACACACTGTGGCATTACAACACACTGGCATTACAACACACTGGCATACACACTGGGCATTACAACACACATGGGGCATTACAACAACTGGCGGGCCATCATGCATACAACACACTGGTGGCATTCAACACACTGGGCATTGACAACACACTGTACATCACAGCGGTATTAGAACACACAGCGGTATTAGATACCCACTAACACACAGGGCCATTAGAACACCAACGGTATTAGAACACAAAGCGGTAGTAGAACCCACTACACACAGTGGCATTAGCACACACAGCGGTATTAGAACACACAGCGGGATAGGAACCCACTCAACACACAGTCGGCATTAAGAACACACAGCGGTATTAGAAACACACAGCGGTTATAGAACACACATCGGTATTATGAATCCCACTAACACACAGTTGGCCAGTTAGAACACACAGCGGTATTAAAACACACAGCGGTATTAGAACCCACTAACCAGTGGCATTAGAACACACAGCGGTTAATTAGAACACACAGCGGTATAGAACCCACCTAACACACAGTGGCATAGAACACACAGCCGGTACTTAGAACACACCAGCGGTATGAGAAACCCACTAACACACAGTGGCATTAGGAACACCAAAGCGGTAATTAGAACCCCACTAACACCAGTGGCATTAGAACACACAGCGGTATTAGAACACACAGCGGTATTAGAACCCACTAACACACAGTGGCATTAGAACACACAGCGGTATTAGAACACACAGCGGTATTAGAACCCACTAACACACAGTGGCATTAGAACACACAGCGGTATTAGAACCCACTAACACACAGTGGCATTAGAACCCACTAACACACAGTGGCATTAGAACACACAGCGGTATTAGAACCCACTAACACAGTGGCATTAGAACCCACAGTGGCATTAGAACACACAGCGGTATTAGAACCCACTAACACAGTGGCATTAGAACCCACTAACACACAGTGGCATTAGAACACACAGCGGTATTAGAACCCACTAACACAGTGGCATTAGAACCCACTAACACACAGTGGCATTAGAACACACAGTAACAAAGTCATTAGAAAACACACTGTAACAAAGTCGCTCTGGAAAAGAGCGACTGCTAAATGATGTAAATGTAACCCACAGTGGCATTAGAACACACAGTAAAAGTGGCATTAGAACACACAGTAACCCACAGTGGCATTAGAACACACAGTAACCCACAGTGGCATTAGAACACACAGTAACCCACAGTGGCATTAGAACACACAGTAACACAGTAACAGTGGCATTAGAACACACAGTAACAGTGGAATTAGAACACACAGCGGCATTAGAACACACTAACATTAGAACACAATGTAACACACAGTGGCATTAGAACACACCGTGGTATTAGAACACACAGTAACATACCGTAACCCACCGTGGCATTAGAACACACAGTAACATACCGTAACCCACCGTGGCATTAGAACACACAGTAACATACCATAACCCACCGTGGCATTAGAACACACAGTAACACCGTGGTATTAGAACACACAGTAACATACCGTAACCCACCGTGGCATTAGAAATCACAGTAACCCACCGTGGCATTAGAACACACAGTAACCCACCGTGGCATTAGAACACACAGTAACATACCGTAACCCACCGTGGCATTAGAACACACAGTAACACCGTGGCATTAGAACACACAGTAACACCGTGGCATTAGAACACACAGTAACACCGTGGCATTAGAACACACAGTAACACCGTGGCATTAGAACACACAGTAACACCGTGGCATTAGAACACACAGTAACACCGTGGCATTAGAACACACAGTAACACCGTGGCATTAGAACACACAGTAACACTGTGGCATTAGAACACACAGTAACACCGTGGCATTAGAACACACAGTAACACCGTGGCATTAGAACACACAGTAACACCGTGGCATTAGAACACACAGTAACCCACCGTGGCATTAGAACACACAGTAACATACCGTAACCCACCGTGGCATTAGAACACACAGTAACACCGTGGTATTAGAACACACAGTAACACCGTGGCATTAGAACACACAGTAACACCGTGGTATTAGAACACACAGTAACACCGTGGCATTAGAACACACAGTAACACTGTGGCATTAGAACACACAGTAACACCGTGGCATTAGAACACACAGTAACACCGTGGTATTAGAACACACAGTAACACCGTGGTATTAGAACACACAGTAACACCGTGGCATTAGAACACACAGTAACACCGTGGCATTAGAACACACAGTAACACCGTGGCATTAGAACACACAGTAACACCGTGGCATTAGAACACACAGTAACACCGTGGCATTAGAACACACAGTAACACCGTGGCATTAGAACACACAGTAACACCGTGGCATTAGAACACACAGTAACACCGTGGTATTAGAACACACAGTAACCCACTGTGGCATTAGAACACACAGTAACACCGTGGCATTAGAACACACAGTAACCCACTGTGGCATTAGAACACACAGTAACACCGTGGCATTAGAACACACAGTAACACCGTGGCATTAGAAATCACAGTAACCCACTGTGGCATTAGAACACACAGTAACCCACTGTGGCATTAGAACACACAGTAACACTGTGGCATTAGAACACACAGTAACCCACCGTGGCATTAGAACACACAGTAACCCACCGTGGCATTAGAACACTCAGTAACCCACTGTGGCATTAGAACACACAGTAACCCACTGTGGCATTAGAACACACAGTAACACCGTGGCATTAGAACACACAGTAACACCGTGGCATTAGAACACACAGTAACACCGTGGCATTAGAAATCACAGTAACCCACTGTGGCATTAGAACACACAGTAACACCGTGGCATTAGAACACACAGTAACCCACTGTGGCATTAGAACACACAGTAACCCACTGTGGCATTAGAACACACAGTAACCCACCGTGGCATTAGAACACTCAGTAACCCACTGTGGCATTAGAACACACAGTAACCCACTGTGGCATTAGAACACACAGTAACCCACCGTGGCATTAGAACACTCAGTAACCCACTGTGGCATTAGAACACACAGTAACCCACTGTGGCATTAGAACACACAGTAACCCACCGTGGCATTAGAACACTCAGTAACCCACTGTGGCATTAGAACACACAGTAACCCACTGTGGCATTAGAACACTCAGTAACCCACTGTGGCATTAGAACACACAGTAACCCACAGTGGCATTACAACACACAGTAACCCACTGTGGCATTAGAACACACAGTAACACCGTGGCATTAGAACACACAGTAACACCGTGGCATTAGAACACACAGTAACACCGTGGCATTAGAACACAGTAACACCGTGGCATTAGAACACAGTAACACCGTGGCATTAGAACACACAGTAACACCGTGGTATTAGAACACACAGTAACCCACTGTGGCATTAGAACACACAGTAACACCGTGGCATTAGAACACAGAGGCTTTAAAACAGGGAGGATGCAATAAATCATCCTAACAGCGAACACTGGGAATATTATCAAACACACACAGACAGACTGTAGCTACACTTGTTGAACGTCACAACATAAATCCCTGACGAGTTTCTCAACAGGTTTCTTCTTCCATTTTGCCACCGTGCCAGACACAGACAACACGCCTACTTCCTGGTCATACAGATCCACAGAGGGGGGGGTCAAACAACATGCCTACTTCCTGGTCATACAGATCCACAGAGGGGGGTCAAACAACATGCCTACTTCCTGGTCATACAGATCCACAGAGGGGGTCAAACAACAAGGCTAGTTGGCACCTAGCAGGTCCAGAACAGAGGGGGGGGGTCAAACAACAAGGCTAGTTGGCACCTAGCAGGTCCAGAACAGAGGGGGGGGGTCAAACAACAAGGCTAGTTGGCACCTAGCAGGTCCAGAACAGAGGGGGTCAAACAACAAGGCTAGTTGGCACCTAGCAGGTCATTTTTGCCCAGAGTATGCTCAGCCATGTCTTTGGAATGACAGGAGACATCCGGTAACAAAAAAACAACAAAAAAAAAGGAGTCTATTAAACCAAACCAATACAACACCATCAAGATCAAATCAAACCCATTCTGTTACAACAGTCTTCCTCCTAATCATCTTCAAACAAAGTACAATCTGATCAACTAAAAACAATTGTCTGATAATGGCAATTATCTGGGCAAAGAATTTAACAACAAAACTCACATGACAGTCATGTAGGCTGCTGTTCTAGTGGTCTGGATCGGTTCTGTTCTACTGGTCTGGATCTGTTCTGTTCTACTGGTCTGGATCGGTTCTGTTCTACTGGTCTGGATCGGTTCTGTTCTACTGGTCTGGATCGGTTCTGTTCTAGTGGTCTGGATCGGTTCTGTTCTACTGGTCTGGATCTGTTCTGTTCTACTGGTCTGGATCGGTTCTGTTCTAGTGGTCTGGATCTGTTATGTTCTACTGGTCTGGATCGGTTCTGTTCTACTGGTCTGGATCGGTTCTGTTCTACTGGTCTGGATCTGTTCTACTGGTCTGGATCGGTTCTGTTCTACTGGTCTGGATCGGTTCTGTTCTAGTGGTCTGGATCGGTTCTGTTCTAGTGGTCTGGATCGGTTCTGTTCTAGTGGTCTGGATCGGTTCTGTTCTAGTGGTCTGGATCGGTTCTGTTCTACTGGTCTGGATCGGTTCTGTTCTACTGGTCTGGATCAGTTCTGTTCTACTGGTCTGGATCGGTTCTGTTCTAGTGGTCTGGATCGGTTCTGTTCTAGTGGTCTGGATCGGTTCTGTTGTACTGGGAGTGAATGGCATTGACTTGGAGATAACACAGTTGTGGTCGAAAGTTGAGAGAATGACACAAGTATTGGTCTTCAAAGTTTGCTGCTTCAGTGTTTTTAGATATTTTTGTCAGATGTTACTATGGTATACTGAAGTATAATTACAAGCATTCCATAAGTGTCAAAGGCTTTTATTGACAATTACATTAAGTTTATGCAAAGAGTCAATATTTGCAGTGTTGACCCTTCTTTTTCAATAAGCCTTCCCCCCCCAGAGGTCGCTCTGTGTCAAGTGTACAGATTAACAACACGAGTTCCTGGCATTGTAAACAATATTATCTATAACTAACTGAACCTTCTGTTAAACTCAAATGATACCTAGATGACAGGTCTGAAACCATGATGGGAAATATAGCCTACCCTCTGGTCCGTTTCAGATTCATTTCATGACCCAGGTGAATTTGTGGTCTGACAGATAACCAAAAACAGACTTGACATCATTGTCACAATATAGCCCATCACGTTTATATTCTAAAAACTTTACGTCGTCTTTTTCCCTTTCAATACATCTCTATACGGACAAAACCTTAGAAACCAGAAGGGTTTCAATAGACTCATTGTAATAAACATAGTAATTAAAAATCCAAAGTATTTCGAACAATTTCAAATGATTTGATCAACATTTAACAATACAGAAAAGCCAAAGCTATGAAACTTACCGGACGGGCATGGAGGCTGTGGACGAGGCATCGCTCATGGAGGAGCAGTCAGACCCTTCGGAGGAGAAACAGGGTATCGTATTGGATTCATTATGTTAGCCTAGCTATAGCCGTCCAATTAAATGGTGTCATTTTTCACATGTCTAGATGAGGGGTTAAATGAATAGTTAAAGGGGTCTTCCACCTCCTCACCATCATCATCATCACCACCGCAGTCATTCTCCAGCTCGTCATCAGGAACCTCGTCTTCCATTCCGTCTCCATCACTCTCTGGACTGTGTGGACAGACAGGGAAAATAAACCTGAAAGACTTCAAGCAAGACACCCGATAGTGAAAAGCTTTTCACAATAACCTATCACTCACCGAGTTCCCTAGACAACACAGAGGACTGTATGGACAGACATGACATAATGTTACTCATGATAAGCCCAAATATTACAAAGCAAGACTCTTAGCCTATATTTAGTTTACAAAAAACGGGCTTAATTCCTCCTCATATCACCCACTTTGATCTCGATAAAAATGTGACACAACACAATAAATGTACTGGTGATCTACTTAAAGGGATCCTTCTGGATGTTGGCAATGAGGCCCTTTCTCTACTTCCCCAGAGTCTGATCAACTCATTTTCACATTTACATTTTAGTCATTTAGCAGACGCTCTTATCCAGAGCGATTTACAGTTAGTGAGTGCATACATTTTCATACTCTCCCCCCCGTGGGAAACAAACCCACAACCCTGGCGTTGCAAGTGCCATGCTCTACCAACTGAGCTACAGGGGACTACATCTGGATACCGTTTGTATGTCTCTGTGTCCAGTACGAAGGACGTTAGAGGCAGTTAGCGATCCAATGCTAACTAGCGTTAGCACAATGAAGAAGTATATGGCCTACGCTAGCAGATACCCAGAGGGCTCTATTTTAACAAACCAATGGTCAATCTAAGCGCAGGCGGTAGCGCTATGGGTTCAGGGGTGTGTCAAATATTTTTGGGGATGGGCTTTGATGAATAAACTAGTTGTGGGTGTGTCGAGGCTTGGCCCCTCACTGGCCAATCAGAATCTCTAGGATTAAAAAAGACATGCATTGCTGTTGAACCAGCCTTCATTATAGTAGACCTGAGGAGTTTTGAACATATCAAACGGAAAACAAGCCATTTTTACAGGTTACAGATAACTTCTAAATACAAGGTTCACCTATTCACTGGGGTTCTCATGTCTCATGATGGGAACGGACACGTAGCCTACATCGTGGAGGGGGTTTTACACACGTCCAAAATGGGACCTGCATGGCTAAAATACACTGCTCAAAAAAATAAAGGGAACACTTAAACAACACAATGTAACTCCAAGTCAATCACACTTCTGTGAAATCAAACTGTCCACTTAGGAAGCAACACTGATTGACAATAAATGTCACATGCTGTTGTGCAAATGGAATAGACAACAGGTGGAAATTATAGGCAATTAGCAAGACACCCCCAATAAAGGACTGGTGGTGACCACAGACCACTTCTCAGTTCCTATGCTTCCTGGCTGATGTTTTGGTCACTTTTGAATGCTGGCGGTGCTTTCACTCTAGTGGTAGCATGAGACGGAGTCTACAACCCACACAAGTGGCACAGGTAGTGCAGCTCATCCAGGATGGCACATCAATGCAAGCTGTGGCAAGAAGGTTTGCTGTGTCTGTCAGCGTAGTGTCCAGAGCATGGAGGCGCTACCAGGAGACAGGCCAGTACATCAGGAGACGTGGAGGAGGCCGTAGGAGGGCAACAACCCAGCAGCAGGACCGCTACCTCCGCCTTTGTGCAAGGAGGAGCACTGCCAGAGCCCTGCAAAATGACCTCCAGCAGGCCACAAATGTGCATGTGTCTGCTCAAATGGTCAGAAACAGACTCCATGAGGGTGGTATGAGGGCCCGGTGTTGTGCTGTGCAGGACATTTGGCATTTGCCAGAGAACACAAAGATTGGCAAATTCGCCACTGGCCCCCTGTGCTCTTCACAGATGAAAGCAGGTTCACACTGAGCACATGTGACAGACGTGACATAGTCTGGAGACGCCGTGGATAACGTTCTGCTGCCTGCAACATCCTCCAGCATGACCGGTTTGGCGGTGGGTCAGTCATGGTGTGGGGTGGCATTTCTTTGGGGGGCCGCACAGCCCTCCATGTGCTCGCCAGAGGTAGCCTGACTGCCATTAGGTACCGAGATGAGATCCTCAGACCCCTTGTGAGACCATATGCTGGTGCGGTTGGCCCTGGGTTCCTCCTAATGCAAGACAATGCTAGACCTCATGTGGCTGGAGTGTGTCAGCAGTTCCTGCAAGAGGAAGGCATTGATGCTATGGACTGGCCCGCCCATTCCCCAGACCTGAATCCAATTGAGCACATCTGGGGCATCATGTCTCGCTCCATCCACCAACGCCAAGTTGCACCACAGACTGTCCAGGCGTTGTAGGGAGCATGCCCAGGCATTGTAGGGAGGTCATACAGGCACGTGGAGGCCACACACTACTGAGCCTCATTTTGACTTGTTTTAAGGACATTACATCAAAGTTGGATCAGCCTGTAGTGTGGTTTTCCACTTTAATTTTGAGGGTGACTCCAAATCCAGACCTCCATGGGTTGATACATTTTATTTCCATTGATAATTTGTGTGATTTTGTTGTCAGCACATTCAACTATGTAAAGAAAAAAGTATTTAATAAGATTATTTCATTCATTCAGATGTAGGGTGTGTTATTTTAGTGTTCCCTTAATTTTTTTGAGCAGTGTAAATAGGTAAATTGCTGAACATGGCGTTAGGGCTGGAGAATGACAGTGATCCAGTTTTTACATGACGAAATTACAAACTAACATGCGTTTTTACACTGGCGCCGCCTTAACGCCAGCCGGAAATAGAACCCATAGACTGCCAGTCACTGCGCTAACGCTAGTTAGCAATTACGCTACCGCTAGTTAGCAACGTCCTTCACACTGCACGCAGGGTCATAAAAATGGTATCCACGAGTTCACCTGACTCTGGGGATGTAGATAAAAGGATATATCACTTTCCCAGCGCTCAAAACATTACATTTTACATTTACGTCATTTAGCAGACGCTCTTATCCAGAGCGACTTAAAGTTAGTGCATACATTATTCTTTTAAATGTTCATACCCCATGGGAATCGAACCCACAACCCTGGCGTTGCAAACGCCATGCTCTACCAACTGAGCTACCTCCCATGCTATGCCATCTAGTCTAACTATCGCCTGTAGTATGTGAGAGAGAACTGACCTGGAGAGCTGAGGTGACTCAGCCTGCTGTTCCTTCTCCAGGTCAGGTGGGGACTGGGAGGGGCTGTGGCTGTGCCCCCCCTGTAGAGACAGGACACTCCTCTCCAGGTCAGGTGGGGACTGGGAGGGGCTGTGGCTGTGCCCCCCCTGTAGAGACAGGACACTCCTCTCCAGGTCAGGTGGGGACTGGGAGGGGCTGGGGCTGTGGCTGTGGCCCCCCTGTAGAGACAGGACACTCCTCTCCAGGTCAGGTGGGGACTGGGAGGGGCTGTGGCTGTGGCTGTGGCCCCCCTGTAGAGACAGGACACTCCTCTCCTTGGTCAGGTGTATGGCAGATATCTGGGTGGTCACCGAGGTGACAGAAGGCCTCTGACTCTGAGTAGACCCTGAACCAGCCTCAGTGTTCTCTGGGATGGAACTAGGACTAGAACTAGCTGTGGCACTGGCCTGGGTAGGGGACTGGGTTGGAGTTATCTCTGCACTGGCACTGGCCTGGGTAGGGGACTGGGTTGGAGTTATCTCTGCACTGGCACTGGCCTGGGTAGGGGACTGGGTTGGAGTTATCTCTGCACTGGCACTGGCCTGGGTAGGGGACTGGGTTGGAGTTATCTCTGCACTGGCACTGGCCTGGGTAGGGGACTGGGTTGGAGTTATCTCTGCACTGGAACTAGCTGTGGCACTGGACTGGGTAGGGGACTGGGTTGGAGTTATCTCTGCACTGGAACTAGCTGTGGCACTGGCCTGGGTAGGGGACTGGGTTGGAGTTATACCTGCATGGGGTAGAGGTGCAATGGAGGCTGTTGTGCTACTACTGTTTGTTGTGGTGTTGTTGTCAAGGCTGGAGGCCTCCATGGACACAGGAGAGACTGAGGGCTCCGTCTCCTGGTCTCTCTTAGTAAGGCAGAGTGGTACAGAGGGTTTGGCTGGAGCAGGGCTGTGGATGACTGACACAGAGCTGACAGAGCTAGTAGTCATACCTTTGTCCACCTTGACTGGATCCGTGCTGGACCCCGAGGGTCCAGTAGTAACTCCGTTAACAGTCTCGTTCCTGGGATGAGGGGTGACCGCGCTCCGTGACTGTGTCACCTTCCTCACAGCCTCAGTGAACTCCACCTCAGAGCTTGACTTTCTGATCCTCTCTGCCGGTGTGTTAGGAGGAGTTCCATGACTTCCATGGCCAGCAGCACAACACCCCAGCCTCTGGGTGTGGTCAGCCCCCTCCATGTCTGCTGCCACCAGGCTTTCAAACTGACATGGATCCTGGAGCCTCCAGATCTGATCCCGTGCCACGTCATTGTAGCGGGGTGATCTATCCTGAAAAGGCACTGTGTTGGGTGGGTGGGGTGATCTATCCTGAAAAGGCACTGTGTTGGGGGTGTGGTGTGTGAACTTAGTCTGGGTTTTACCGTCCCCATTGTCCCCCCCACGGCAATAGGAAGCTGACTGGGTCAGCTGGGACAAAGGTTTTGCTGAGTCTCTTGTCTGGGTAGTCTCCTGTCTGGGACGGGAAGGCACTTTACCCGTAGAGGGCCTCATAACCACTTTGTTATGGCCTCTCAGTTTGCCACTGGTCCAGGGGACTGACTGGTTGGTGGGCATGCTGCTGCTGCTGCTGGTGGTGGTGCTGCTGCTGGTGGTGCTGCTGGTGGTGGTGCTTTCAGCAGGTTGTGACGCTGCGTTGTTCTGCGAGTCTGAGATGCGTTCTGCCTTTGGTGGACAGGTGGGATAGGGAACAGCCTGGGGTGACACAGCCAAGCTCCAGCTGGGCCTATAGCTGTGAACGGTTGGCTCCAACACACCAGCGTTATGTCTGTATGAGATAAGGTCAGCACTGGACAGCTGTGTACTCTTAGAGAGAACAGATGGTTGACAGCGACCATTAGCTAAATTAGCACCCACGCTACAAGGACGCTGTGGCTTGTTCGTTAGGTTAGTGGTTGTAGGCACAGAACGGTTGTAGGCACGTTGTAGAGGGGTCCCTGAGGCACTGTGGAGCTGGTTGTTCTGAGTCTGACCCACCCTCTCATTCAGCTGACCTATAGAGTCACTGGCAACCCGGGGGACACTGGCGGAGTACTGAAGGGGCTTCTCTCTGGGGCTGAGGGGCCTAGTGTGACTGTTAGCAGTATGAAACACTGCAGACTTGGCTCGAATAGTGAGGGTTGATGACTGGAAGGCCCGTGTTTTCAACTTGTCTTTAGTTCCATTGGAGGCCATCAAGTGCCATCTCACACCCTCCTGGCATGGATTTATCAGGGAATTGAGGGAGTTAGGGGATTACCATGCCACTGAAACAAATCAATTGATGAAATTACAAATCAGAATCACCTAAGTTGACACACGTGGTCTGATGACAACATGAAACTAGAAAGCCGCGTCAACGCCATGTCGGAAACGCTGAAATGTGACTTGCTTACTCATTTTAGAAAGATGATACCGGAGTTTCCCACTTGGAAAGTATCAGAATCAACCAATAGTAAGCTCTACGCAAATAACATGTTCATTTTAACTCGGAGGCCCCGAGTTTCCGACATGACATGAACGAGGCATAATATCTAGCTAGATGAAAGGATAGCAATTCTGGTTCACAGTTAGCTAGCTTTCCAGTTAGCTAAGTAAAGTTAATTGACAGTCAGTGTAACCAGAGAGAAGTTGGTTAATACCGGTAACGTAAGCTTAGCAATAAACTAGCCAGTTGGCAAGTATCATGTCGACCGGATGTATCAGCACTTTTAATTACACGGTGACGGTACCGTATGGTGAAATAGCCGGTCGCCAGCTATGTGGTTTCAACATGAAGCTAGCTGTCAATACTTGCTAACCAGCTAGCGTTCGTTAGCTACCGGGCAATACCGGTAGATTCAATTCAAGATGTAGATTAAATTCTAATGGAATATGTAATATCGATCACGTTAACTGACTAGAAATCCTGAAGCACGTTCAAAGCCCGGCCTAACGTTAGCTAGCTAGTTGTGAAAAATGGATAACATTTACAGTACATGCTCTGGACGACTCCCCAAAAATCTGCTAGAGCTAAAACTAACAACCTCGGAGAAACAATTCAACGAATTTCAGAGGCCTCTAGCTTTCCTAGCTAGTTAAATACTCACTATAGCGTACATGGTTACAATATACTATGAAATGTTTACCATTACCTGAAGATTATCGATTACAAAAGTCCCACAAGGGAATCCCCCTCGTCGCCTCCTAGCAACCACAAACTGAGGCAGCTCTGTCACTGGCGGGGGGCCTTCTTCTTCTTCTGTGGGTTTTATGGCGGACTACAACCCAAAAAGGTGTATTGCCGCCACCAACTGAATTGGTTGAAACCGAAACAAGGTTTAAAAAAAAAAAAAGAGAAGAAAATCTATACCTAACATGGGCGGTGTGTTCAATAGGGCGATATGGGCGACGCACTGCCAAACGGGAAAAGGAAGGGATTTTTTTTCTAATCAATTATATCATGGCAACAGTAGTTCAGTGTTCACGTCTGATCTGCCAGCCACTAAATGTCCAATCAGGCTAAAGTCGTGCTTCAAATGTCCCCACCCGTTTTGGGGCGATTTCAGTCAGGTTGAAAATCGCCCAGAAGTCTCTCATAGCCTCTAATGTAAAATATTTTTTTTTCAAATTTCTGAGCTTTCAATACATTCTCTATGGGTGTCTGAGGGCTTGCACTTACGCGCTTTCGTCATACGTAACGTAACGTAACCATGAACGGCAGACAGCAACGCTTGGACAGCGACTGGTGTAACCGACATGCACCATCTTTCAGAAAAGATTAAGAAAAATGAGCTGTCAAAGACCCACATTGATAGCTGTTTGAGATTGTCTGCTTTGGTGAGAGTGAATATTGCCACTCAACTGGATGAGGGATACAGGCTAGCTGTCCGCCGCCACAACGATGAGGTTAGCAACAGCAGAGTCGTGAACACTGTCTACGAGAATCGAGACGACCTCATAGAATGTTTTGAAGCCATCCGGACGGGTTCATTGGGTTCATTTGACCAGCCCACCGTACCAGAAGCTACAGAATAAGGACATCGATGCTGTCTTTATCAAACGTGCCCTCGACAGCTTCGCAAGCAGTGTGCAGGCCATAAGGTAAGATAAAGATTAAACAATATCATTCGATCTTTCTCAAAGCAGAGCTTTATTTGAAAATGTATGCATGAAAGGAGACTGCATTTGTGTTTGAAATTACATTATTGTCATTATATATGGCCAGTGGTGTAATCTATCTTATTTTATATACTATGTGTACTGTACAGTGGTGCTCATAAGTGTATGAACACATTCTAAAGCTGACTAAAAAGAGGAATAAAAAAATAAAAAAATAATCTTTTGGAAATTGATCTTAATGACTTAATTAAAAAAGTTGGAAAATCCAACCTTTAAGGACACCAATTTTCTTTTCTTTTTTATTCCTCTTTTTAGTCAACTTTAGCATGGGATCATAAGCTTATGAGCACCACTGTATACTGTGCTGAACATCCAGGCTATGTGAGACACAAAGGCTAACTTAAACACTAAAGACTTTATGCATCCCTGCCCATTTTAAGTGGAACTGAAGTATTTGTACTATACATGGATACATTGCATATACCTGTGCATCACATAGACAACAATACTGTACAAAGCCAACAAACACATTGGTCTGTTTGCCTTCAGGGACTCCTCTCAACAGCAGCTGCAAGAAGCAACAGGAGCCAAAAGACCCAGAACAGCTTTGAGAGAAGAGGAGAAGCAGAGGCTGTCTGAAGAGGTCTGCAACACCATCCTGGATCACACCAAAGAAAGGTTCTCTTTCTCTGGCCACCTTGTGAGTGCTACCTTACTGCAAGCAGACATGTTTGAAAGGTACTGCCATTCAAAAAAATAAAAAATCTGTTCATGTTCATTTTTACAAATCTATACAATTGGCCAGAATATGGTTGTTCATATTTACAAATCTATACAATTGGCCAGAATATGGTTGTTCATTTTTACAAAGCCATACATATTGTTTATGCAGTGTTGAGGAATGTGAAAGAACACCCTTGATTATTTTTACTGTGATAACTTATTTTGCTTTTGTAAGCCAACACTTTTGAGATCAGTCAATAAATGCTTCTGGTATTGACTTATATGCTGCCCCTGTCTTCATGTTGTTGCTGGACATATCTTTTTAAAAATGTGTGTAGGTCACCTAAATCATCAGAAAAATTGCCCCTCCTGAGAATTTTTTCAGGAGCCGCCACTGATACCTAATAGGTAAACTAACTTAATCCACCCAAATAAAAATAGTAAATTGACTAAACTAAACTCCCACTTCTTCCTTCTTTCAAATCTCCATATCCCCCTTCTCGGGCTCTAGGGCCTTAGGGGGTGGGACGGCTTGTGACAATATTCCATGTCACTCCTCTGCCCAGAAATCTTTCAGTCCCAGGAACCGCTCTGCCACAATGATTTATATCTTCCTGGACCTTCCCTCCACCTTGGCAGTGCCATTAATCACCATAGCTATAAAGGCCACCTTCTTAACCTTTAAAATGTCAGGATCCTGCTGGTGAAGGGCAACCCCTGCTGCCTGCAGTGAAGTCCTATCCACCACCATGGACTCTTCAGGAGCACCATTCAAACCCTCAACCCTTTAAACAGCTGCAGCATATGATATGCTCTGGACAGCCCTGACTTTGGCCACCTCATTCTCTTTCACCCTTGTGGGGCATTCAAAAGACATAGCTTCATGGTTCCCACCACAATTACAACATGTCATGTTTTCATCACTTTTATAACACATGATATGATCTTTTCCACAACTTGGACATCTCGGTTTCTCCCTTCTGCAAACACTTGAAACATGACCAAAAGCTTTACAAGGATCATTGGTCATGGGATAAATGTTCTGACTCTGTAGTTAATATACCTTAACTGCACTTGAGTAGGGAGAGACTCCATATCAAAAAACAAAAGAACAGAGACTCTTCACTTTTTCTTCATTCACCACACGATCCGTCCGACGTGCATCAATCACTCCAGGAATATTGAACATCGACTTCCCAACGAGACGCCCGATATAACACACACACACACACATACACACACACACACACACACACACACACACACACACACACACACACACATTACACACACACACACATACACACACACACACACATACACACACACACACACACATACACACACACACACACACACACACACACACACACACACACACATTACACACACACACACATATTACACACACACACACATACACACACACATTACACACACACACACATACACATTACATTGAGGGGTGCCCTGTTCCTAAGAGACACACGCGACACTTCAAACTTATCAAATCGGGTGAGACGCAACACACGTTTCTTCTGATCCGCAGAAGCACAAAAAATCTAAACCAGCCCGCCTCTCGTGATCCTCACAGCCCTTCACTCTACCCAGCACTCTCTCCACCAGTTTGGATATCTCAAATGGATTCCTCAAGATTGGTACTCTGCTCAGATGCTCCTCATTAACAAACCGTCCTCCTACTAGATAGGAAGTGACGTTCTCACCACTGTACTCTACTTGGCTCCGTTTTCCATTCTTTTGGACAATATTCAAATTCTCCTTGATTCTACCGCCATTAGATTCAGAATCCACTTCACCGTCCGCTTCCGCCATCTTTTTCCGTCTCCGGCTCTACGGTCACCTGGCAGGGGCAGTTCAGTATTGACACATTTCCACAACTTCAATAATGATATGACACCCCCCCAAAAAAAGAAACACTGGGTATATTGGTTACATTTCATGGTGCAACATTTCATCATGTATTATGAAAACATTTCCTATTTATTTGACATCAACAAGACACATTCTACTGATAGTTGGCAAGTCATGCTCGTGAAGATGCCACCCTGTACAAACTGTCTCCAAAGACCGAGGTAAAATTAGTTTCATATTGGATATTCGGTTTACTCTCGTCAATAGCTATTGAACCAAGCATGCCATGACAATGAAAAGTATATATTCTGAATCGGGAGAATGGCAAAAAAAATCCACAACTTTTTTGGTTTGTTGACATTTTTTTCCTTTACTTTTTTTCTCCCTACCATCCCTACCCTAATTGGAGTAAACTAACGGACAGCAATACTTCTACTGCTACTTACAGCTATTTCACACACAGCTACAGTACCTGTAGTTAAATTATACATATATTCCTA